ACTAGTTTAGCTCTCTCTTATTTCTCCTCCATTTCGTGTATTCTTTCATCGTCATAAAGGCCAATCGTGTTCAAGAGCTGTGGGGCACCTAGAAGTTGTACCACTAATGCCATCAGACTCTCCGAGAGTGGATCATACCCATTCAGGTACATTAGTCCCTGTTGATGTTCCTGACCCTATTGCCATTAACACTTCTATTGCTAATGACTTTGACCTTCCTATTGCTCCCTGGAAAGGTATTAGATATTGCACCACTAAACACCCAATTTCCCACTTTGTTTCCTATGAAAACATTTCACCCTCATTTCGAGCCTTTATTCTTCCATTGACAGTGTCCCTATCCCTAAGAATGTAGTAAAAGCTCTTTCGGTACCCGAATGGACAGATGCTATGAAGGAAAAATTTAATGCGTTACACAAAAATGGCACATGGGAACTTGTAGATCTTCCTAAAGGGACATATCCAATTGGACATAAGTGGGTTTTCACAGTTAAACACATGGCTGATGGCACTGCAGAACGGTAAGTGGCAAAGGGGTTTACACAAGTGTATGGAGTAGATTATGCATAAACTTTTGCACCTGTTGCTAAGATGAATTCCATTAGAGTCCTTTTATCCCTTGCTGCTAACCTTTACATCAAGAATGCCTTGAATGGTGACCTTGAAGATAAAGTATACATGGTTCAACCCCCTGGTTTTTGGGCTCAAGGTAATAAACAGAAAATGTGCAAGTTAAATAAATCATTATATGGGCTAAAACAATCACCAAGAGCCTAGTTCAACAGGTTCCATGTAACAGTACAACAAAGAGTATACAAGCAGTGTCAGTCTAATCACACATTGTTTGTAAAGATAGGGGAATGGAAAATTGCAGCACTGATAGTATATGTTGATGATATAGTTATCACTGGTGATTGGAATGATGAAATTCGGAAGTTGAAGAATTCTCTTACTACCTAGTTTGAAGTGAAAGATCTATGTCCTCTAAGGTACTTCCTTGGGATTGAAGTGGCCTGCTCACAAAGGGTTATCTTCATTTCTCAAAGAATGTATGTCCTAGATCTACTCTATGATACAGGAAACTATGAGTGAATCCAGTTGATTCCCCCATTGACCCTAACCACAAACTAGGTGACTGTCAGGGTCAACCCATCAAGGATGTGAAACTGTTCCAAAGACTTGTAGAGAGACTACTATATATTTCTATGACTCGACCAGATGTATCTTATGCAGTGGGTGTTCTTAGCCAGTTCATGCATGCCCCTAAGACTACCCATCTTGAAATAGTATAAAAAGTTCTCAAATATCTTAAGAAGTTCGCAGGTGCAGGTTTGTTGTTCTAAAAGCATGGACATTTGAAAGTTGAAGTGTATACTGATGCAGATTGTGTAAAATCCCTAAATGGCAGAAAGTCAACTAGTGGCTATTGTACCTTCATAGGAGGTGATTTAGTTATTTGGAGATGCAAAAAGTAGAGTGTGGTAGGTAGATCTAGTGCTGAAATTGAATACCGGGCAATGTCTCATGGAGTGACTGAAATTACGTGGCTGAAAATTTTGTTGGGTGAGTTGGGTTTTCGAGTTGACAGAGCTATAAAAAACCTATCATGTGATAACAAAGCAGTCATAAACATTGCTGCTAATCCAGTGTTGCATAATAGAACTAAACACATCGAAGTCAGCAAACACTTTATCAGATAAAAAGTTGTCACAGGGGAAGCGTGTACTCCTTATGTTAGTTCTGAAAATCAACTTCCATTAATCCTTACAATAGTGTTACACCACTCACGACATCATAATTTACGTGACAAGTTGGGCATGATTGACATCTGTGTCTCAACTTGAGGGGGAATGTTAAAAGACTGTTATTTGTCTAAGTATATTACCACAGTGGTACTCTTGTAAATTTCTTATTTTATTATTTATGTTATGTCGACCTAGTATATATATCAAAGTTGGCACCGCCAGGAGTACCTTTTTGGCTCTTTGTTCTCTATTCTCTCTCTCTCTCTCTTATCTCTTCTTCCATTATTCTCTCTTGCATAACATGAACCAAACAGACTATGGGAATAGACAATTCTGATTCTAGTTTCAAGGGATTTTGAATCCAACTACAAACCAAATTATGATAATATCTGTGCATATACACAAGTGCATAAGTGATTACATATATAACAAAAATGAATATAAACAAAAGGTTTTCTTTGTTTGGTGCACTATAAAAAATCCTAGCTCCGCCTTATAGTAAAGGTAGGTGCTAGCTCAGAATTTATGCTAATTCACGGGCGGGTATGGGTGTTATAGGTGGATTTCGAATTGTTATAGATCTATAGTTTAATTCAGAATTTTGAGACGGAGTGTAGTCTATTCATCCCTATAAAAAAATAGCATTTTATAAAGGACTTTTTTAGTTAGGGAGAGGGAGTAGGAGGAGAGATGAGATAGATAATTTTGAGTGAGGAAATTGGAATGGAAGGGGGAAGTTTTAAGAGTTTGAAGCAAGGAGATATGGTGTTGTCAAACAGATTTGGCCCCAAATAAATAATTAGTAAATAAGTGCATAGAAATAGCCCTAAACTCAAATAATCGATCAAATTATTATTTAGGGCTATCAGTTATGACCCAATAAGACCCAATACTAATTGTCAACTAAACTTTTAACTAGCAATCTGACAGTAAATATGAGGGTGAGCACGGAACATGGAACCTACAATATAGGGGTTGGCCACATGTTGAAATGGGAACTTACTCTATCAACACTAGTTCTAGGATCAGTTATAGACTTGATAGTTCCAGGGTCTATACATGGAACATGTTCTTTTGTTACTAAAGAAATGAAAAAACAAAGGAGGAACCTTTTTTCTTAAAAAGCATTTAAGAATCAAATTAAATAGCTATATATGTTGTTGTGTTTAACATAGTATTCCATGTTAAGTTATGTATTTTTCTAAACATTAGGAATTGTAAATTTGACATAATTACATAATCACAAATTGCAATAATTGATAATATATATGCCACTATTGATTTATATTATTGATAAAAAATCACAACCATTAAGTGGTTAACTTTAATTTTAACAATAATAATGTATAGTTTAAGACTTGTCATTATATTTTAAATTTATAAATATTACCTTTTACATTATTTATTGTACACATTCAAATACTAAATTAAAAAAAAAAATTATAAATTCACTTAATTTGTCTAATGGTCAAGTGAGATCATGGTCTTTAAACATGAACGCTTGGGTTCAAATAATCACAACCTCAAAGTATTTTAAGACAAGTTTGGTTCCACTAAGGCCAAACAAAATTGGTTTCATCAAAGCCAATAAAGAATGGTTCTCCAAGTCATTTCAAGTAGAATAAGCCCCCCATACCCTGGAACTAGCCTAGATGGGGTGGTTCAAATAATATGGATCTTGATGGTTGGACCCTACCTGATAAGTGATAGCAAATCGTATAGGGTCAGTTCATTTGGTTCCTAGTAAAACATAGCAATTTGCTCATCCCTATAAACATACTCTTTTTTTTTATTTTTATTTTTGCAATGTACTAATTTGTTAAATCCACGCATATAGGCAATATAATATAATATGATAATATTAACCAAAATGATCCCAACCCAGATATAGTCAGGATATTTAATGCATCTCACACCTTGTAAAATTGAGCTGAATGGTTATATGATGTGAATATTATATGAACAACTTGGTTATGAACCACAGTGGTTTTGAATCAAACAAAGTAGCAAATGTGTGAAAATAGATTTCATAAGAAAAAAGTTCGGAAACATGCATCAAACAAGATAGCCTTCTCCATCTTTCTATTGGTAGGAGTGAAAATTTTTCTACTCTATCATGAAAGTATGTGCTTCTGCTTTTTTATGCTGGCCTATTGTTTTGTTTTGTTGAAAATTTTTGAATGTTAAATGAGGTGGTTTGAACACCGTGAAATAGCGGAAGTATGTTTTTTCAGAACAAAGCTAAATAAAGCTTGGTAGGAGAGGGAAGTTAAACTCTCTAATTTGATTTCTCTAAATGGGTGTTTATTTCTAGGATTTTAAGAAAGGGAAAAATTGATTAATGGGATGTGAATCTCATTGACTAAAGAACTCATGTCCAATACTTGGATGGAATAAAAATATCTCTTTTGATAATAAAATTTTTATGACTAAAATAGTCATTATATTAAAATAAAAGAAAATGAATAAATTACCCAAATAAATAATTTACTGAAAAGTAAACGGAGCCTTAAACGCAAAATTTTCTAGTTCATTAACAGTAAACACAACCGCCAGATACACATCTACTTTGCAATGTCAATAGTCCATGAGGATTCCACCTCGAAGAAATAGAGGGTATTAAAGGAAATTCCTCTTATATACATGGTTCGGTCCTATAACCCAAAAAAAGGTCTCTCGGGTGGGGGTGGTGCGGTGTCAAAGCCTTCCACAGTCCACCAATCACCCCAATGATAGCAGGACTGGCTTTGCACATGTACAGTGGTCAGAGCCTGTGCCCACTGTTCGCCCTGTGTCGAGTTCTCTGGCTTGAAAGGTTGAAACTTATTTTGTAATATGTTTACAAAATATTATATAAATAATATTTTATAGAGAGAAGTACGCCTAATGTAGAACTCTGAAACTACGACCACCACCCATAGCTCTTCCCTATAAACCGGGTCCATCTTGTGCATTTAGCATCAATTCACGACCAGGATTCATCCTATGTAAAATGAGGATAAAAATTCTGGACTGATCTGTCATTCTCCCTATTTTATATCATACGTTATATAACATATAGATAAAATTCATTCTATATACTATATAATAAAAACTATGCGTTATCGAACGGGTGGTTTCTCGGAATCTACGCACGAATAGATTAGCACCTTCACGTGCGAGAGATTTGAGCGTGCGAATAAAAGGCTCCAGTAAACTCGACATGTGTCACTTCGTGCGAATACAATCCGTGCATGGCACAGACGTGTCCGCGAGGTCTTCCCTCTCGAATCATTTCTCCCACTTCTTCAACCTTCGTCTTCCCTTCCATCCTCCCACTTCCCCCACTTACCTACTAAACCTAGAAAAAGAAGGAAACCGAGTTAATGAACGGCCGGTCCAGGGCACTTCTTTCCATGTTTAACCTTCATCTTCGCAGGACAACTCCAAAAGTTTCCTTCTTTCTCTGCTAACCTAGAAAAAGAAGGAAACCAAGTTTTCTCGTTTTCCCTTCTATCGTGTCGTGAAGTGTCGTCCTCGAACGAACGGACGGTCCAGGGCGCTTCTTTCCATCTTCAACCTTCGTCTTCTCAGACAGCCTCTAGTTTGGGATTTTGGTGTTGATTTGATTTCTTCGTGTTCCAAAGAGATGGATGATAGCTGTGCCATCTGCGCTGAACACTTCGAATGGGTTGCGTACGAACCATATGGCCGCCGCAAGTTCTGCTCAACCTGCGTCACTCGTTTACGTTTTTTGCTAGATATATTTCGAATTGTTTCCTACTTTTCTTCCCCGAATTTGTCATGTCACAGGTTTTCTGTTTGGAGCACAGAAATGGAACAGGAAAAGGACTCATTTCCCCCTACTTGCTGTTCTCTTTTCTCTCTTCATTGCAGCTTCAATCCTCTACAACGAACGAAGTATTCAGCAAATCCACTAAGACAAGAAACAACAACAGTCTTCCATTACACAAACATCACTTCTCGCCTCTGCTCCTCCAAAAACCTCTGGAGCTAATGACCAAAAGCGAGCTCTAGGTATGTAGCCATCCATACTTGTTGATCTACCTTCCTTTCTCTGAAGTTTAATCGACTTAGGTTTGCTTCTCCTAGTGAAGATTCGCCTTTGTTTAGTTTAATAATCTTATATATATATATATATATATATATATATATATATATATTTTTTTTTTTGCGTTTTCTTTCTTTATTTTTGGAACCCCGACGAGTATTGACGGGTTTCTGTAATTTTTTGTCTCTGTTCTGGTTTTACCTACTGGGGCTTGTTGTATCTCCTGAATTTAGTTTTATTTTGATCTGATCTCATGGATTTAACTGAGTTTTTTTCGGAAGTTTAGCGAGCTTGATAGATTCACTACATGCGCTTCCACTCGAAAGTACAGTGGTAAGGAAACTGGATTGACTGACCTTATGGTGGAATCTAGCCGATGGGGAGGAGCTCCTGAGAGCTGTAACTTGTTTTCCGGCAAATGGGTTTTTTATAATACTTCATATTCGCTATATAACGAGTCGCATTGCCCTTGTACGTCCGATCAGTTGGCATGTCGGAAGCACGGAGAGGACTGACTTGAGGTACCAAACATGGATTCAACCCCATAACTGCAACTTAAAGAGGTATTGTTTCTCTATTTCAAGGTAAAATCACCAATGTTCTACAACTAGAATGATTTTCAAATTTTAAAGAGCTGATTTATTATGCTAAAGGTGGAACACGACTGAAATGTGGGAGAAATTGAGAGGCAAGAGACTGATGTTTGTTGGGGATTCTCTTAATAGAGGACAATGGATATCCATGGTATGTTTATTACAATCTGTAATGCCTGAGAAGAGATCCATGTCACCCAACGGGCCTCTAACAATTTTCAAAGCAGAGGTCAGGCAACACCAGTCAATATATAAAAATGGTGGAGACAAGGCCCCAGTTAAGTTACTGTAAGTAAAGCTTCTTCCCAAGTCAGAATGATAACTGTATAAAACAAGAGAGAATAATCTTTATTTTTGCATTTCTGAAGATACCTATATCTTGTTGCAGATGGAGTAGTGAAGAAAATGGGATATGTGAAGAACTAGATGGCTTGGAAGCCATGGAGTTGGCAATGGAGACTTGGGCAGAATGGGTGGCTTCCAAGGTGAATCCTACCATTAAGCGTGTATTCTTTGTTACCATGTCTCCAACCCATCTCTAGTGAGTTTTGAACATAACAAAACACTTCAGCTATAATGCTCTATCAAACTTCAAACAAGGGGTAGATTATGTGATCTTCCTCAATACCATGATGTGTGGATACAGTGGGAGCATTAATGTGTGTGTTTTGGTGTAATTGTTAATATTCAAATATAACTCATCTGAGGGTAGAATTGGAATCAAAATGGATCATTCTGGTTCCAACCATTCGGTTTGGCAATCGGAATTTAATTCCCATTCCTGGTGGAATGACATTCCCCCATTAGAGGGAATGGGCATTTCCTCCCCCTCCCTTTGGAATGAGGATCCATTCCAGCCAATTCCGGTTCCCGTCTAAACCAACAAGCAAGAGGAATAAACCATTGCCATTCCAATTCTGACTGCAAACCAAACGGACCTTAGGTGAAATTCTAGATAAAAGCAACTAGATTGATTCTAAAATTCAGATTTCAATTTTAGAAAGATGGAAAGCTCAAAATCAAGGTTTGGAGTATTACTGAAGCCAATTCATAAAAGCTTGGAAACTCAAATTCTCCAAATCTGAAGCTTTACTTTAAGATTTTGACATTTTGACTCTGAACTTTCAACAGAAATATGGAAAACAAGTTCGTTAATAAGGTAGGAACATGTACAAGTTCATAGTGTTGCCAAATGAGCTTTCAAAGCCAAATCTCAAATCAAAAAGCTTATCTTTGGCTTTTGTCTATGAAAGCTGAAAATACATTGTCCAAACAACATGATAGCATGTTGCATCACTCCATTGAAGGGTGCCACAATCACCTAAATAGCCAGGCAATTATCCTTTCCTCGATTGCCTTGATGCCCCTTGCTTAGCCATCCCTGGTGATACATTGTCAATCCTGCTGATATCAATGTGACATCACATAGAAACTCTCTAGTACAGTCTGAATATTGTTAAATTTGGGTTGTGGCAGGTCTAAGGACAGACCCAGAACCTAAAAATTTTAAACATACATTTACTTATAGGGCCATAAGTCAGATACTACATGGATTATGGGCCAATAGAATAGCCTCAACATATGAATAAAATGAACTGATGATAATGTAAACCTGGTATGGGGAATCTTAGTAGAGATAAACGTCTGGACAGCAGGTCCATGAGGGGCCTATTAGGTAGAACTTAGTTGCAATTCTGAGAGAACCAAATGCAATTAAAAAATGGAAGACCTATCTAAGATAAGACTTTATGTTTATGTTGGTGCTGGATATCTCGTGCTAGACAATAAAGTATAGAATATGGTCAGTGACTGCTCAATATGCCCATAGATCCAGATTGTCCAGTTGATAAAGCAATCTTGTACTAGTATCATGTAGAAAACCAGACTGAACTTTTTTGTTTCTAATCATTTGACTAATGTATAGGGAGGTTTAACCAGAAAAAGATGATGTATAGGAAGGTAAAAGCCATTAGTAATGATAAGATTTTACTGTTTCCTAATGCTGTGTTCCTAACCAAAACCACCAGGCATGCTAATGATGATTTGTGTTACTGAATGTTTTATGTTTTTGGTAATAATGTGTTGTACTTGTGTGATTTTATTAATTTGCATATGGTCAAACTAAATTATTAATGTGCATAGTTGTATTGTTATTCATATGTTGTCTATGTGAATTATTCGACATTGTCTATAATAGTATAACATCATTGATGGCTCAAAACATATTTCTCTTGCTGCAAGATGACTCAAAACATATTGGGAGCAATAGGAAACCTAACCTCACAGCCAAAAGCTAGCATTTACCTAATTGTGTTGATAGCTTTAGACTTTATACCAACCATGCTTGTGGTTTATCGCCATGGCATATTAATCTAAATCTCTATCAAGGATAATGATCGTTACCTGCTTGACATATTTGGTAGAAGAAAATGGCAATGTGTTAGCCCATCAAGGCTACTGTGCTTTCTTAATACATTAGAACTCAAACCGGTGTTTTATTTAGCAATATGCAGTTTGTCATTGCAAGTATAACCTCCACCCTTAATCCACTTAACTTACCCAAGGCTTATCTTTCCATCCAGGTCCTCAGCTTTTGTCCTGTAGCTATTCCTCTTTCTCACACATGACAAGTTAGTGGACGAAGATTCATCTTGATTCAGAATCTCTGGTATCATTGTTGACCTTCTGACTTTACAGATTATAGAAGCTCTGATATGCTGATTGCTGGAAACTTTTAAGTGAACAAAGATAAAATGTGTCTATTTTTATAGGTTTTACTATGACACCAGAAAGATATGATACCCAGAAAAAACATTTATAAAAAAATGATACTAGAAAAACTTATAACCAATTGGTATCATCATAAAAGTGGTAGCCAATCAGGTGGTGTTTATCAAATTCATGGGGAGGGATTGATAAAAAAATCATGGGGAGGGTGGGGGGAAGGGTAAAGCTCCTCTAATATCATGTCTTTCCAGCACCATAGTGTAGGCACCATGGACTTTGGTTTGGCAGTGGTGATCAGGCTCTGAAGGTTCAGTGAATGGCGGTGGAACCAGTCAGTGACTCGTAAAGACAGAGAAAGAGAGAGTAAAAGAGGGAGGAGAGAGAAATGTGGGCTTCCCCTTCCGTAATGGGTTTGACAGGTATGTTTCTAATGGGTTTGATAAATGTCTTAATAATGGGTCCCCGTATGGGTAAGGGGCCCTATTTATAATGCTTGAACCTCCATGTTCTGGAGTGTTCTTTATTTTGCCTTTTTCCTGTTTCATCCTTTAATTATATTATTCTAGGATGTTCTAATTGATGCAAAAATTTGCTTTAATGATCAATTGGTCTGAACCAGTCTAGTCTGACCTGGTTTTACACCTGGTCTGCCAAATTAATGCACTCATATGGATCCACTATCTTATACATAGACTTACCCCTATTTTATTAATAAGTTTGTTAAGTTAAATTAAGAACATATTTTAAAGTTGTGGCTGAATCAGACTCAGAATGGTAGGTCTACACCTACAAAAAAATTCTTGGTTAAATATTTCTAATGGCCCTTATATGAAACAGACTAACAATTTTCATTACAACTGTCCCTTGTGAGATTCGAAAGATAAAGAATTATTAAAACATTTTGTGCCGTGCAAGAGCCGAGAATGGAAGCCAGAGAGAGAGAGAGAGAGGAACTATTACCAGGGTTACTGGGGAAGTGGATCCGACTTGCCCACAATGCGCGTGGTGGAGAATGTTTTAGGAAAGCTGGGGCCAAAGGTATCTGACTATCTGATGTCAACATCACTCATCTCTCTGGGTAACTGAAAGATGGCCATCCATCCATCTACCGGAATGAATTACTGTTTAATCTTTTGTAGAGATAATGATGCCTTTAGCCCAGGGACAAAGATGTCATGGCCTTTAATCACAAATAATTAGTCATGGTGTTGAGGGACAAAGATGTCCATTGAATAGCAACTTCTGCTGTACAAGGCAATTCAAATAGCTCACTTCAACGGGAAGACACTAACGTGTCTATATAAAGAATGGGACTTTTTTTGTAAGATATTAACCTTTCTTTAAATTCATATGGGTAGTGTTTATTACACCATTTCCGAACATATAATTAATTTCTTTCAAAAACATAGTACTGTGATCCGTAATTAATTTCTCACTATTTTTGTGACAAATACTTTTGTATCAAAACACCTATTGTGTTTGTAAATTGTCATGACACACTACTATAATGAGTATTTATCACAATAAACTCAAGGGGTATAAAAATGTCACACATTTTAAAAACTTTTTTTCTACAGGGGCCACCTCGCTAGTATTATAGTATTTATATAAAATAAATAATCTAACATAAAAATTATATACAGGTTACATGTATAAATTTATGCAAATATAAACTTAAGCGTAAGCTTGGGGTTTCCAAATCCCACTGGGCTGAAAATGATTATTCTTCCTATGCAAGAGATCCAAATTCTCCACCCGGTTAAGAGATAATATGTATAGAACTCGGTAGAATAGTATATACATCATAACCACAAGGAATAATTTGTTTACCGGTGCCCCATTTGGTGTCTTTCTATACTGTCTTTCGGCTGTTTATAAGTCGGGCAAACCGTGCTGTGGTCTTTTTTCCATTTTGTTCATAATAAATCTCTGTTAAAAGTTGATGCACCGAAAAGACGTGAAAAAACTCATTTTGGATTGATTTCGGAAAGTTTCAAATTGAGTTTTTCACGTCTTTTTTGTATGGAAAAATGCACAGAAATACGCATGGCTAAACTAGCTTTGGGTTTATGAGATTTTCAAGATTCGGGTTAATGTCTCTTTCATATATAAAACACATGAATATAAACTTATTTTATATATTATATAATATAAAATATATAATCTAATATAAAATAGTATGTACATATATGTATATATTATATACAAAATGTGTAAGTGCAGGGCCGGGCTTGAAGTATTAAGCCCAAGCCCATCCCTAAAATTTGCAGGCCTGATGTGGATTCAAGCTCATGCTAGACCTGAACATAGAACCCAGGTGTCAGCACTCAATATTTGTTCGGTCTCCAAATATTGAACATAGAACCCAGGTGTCTCCTCTTTGATCCACTTTTTGCACTTGAGACCTTACCAACATCTTTAAAATATGTCAAAACCCTAGAAAACTAAATTTTAATTGAAATACCCTCAAATCCACCGTTCAATCCATAAGATTCCCTTTCAATGGTCTCGATTACATTACATCACCATACTCGTTACTTAATTAGACACCTTCACAGGAAACCAAACCTTCAAACAAACAATCACATTAAATTTCAGCCATAAATTATTTGATATCGCCATTCATTCATTAGAGATTTCATTTTGACACATTTCTCACTACGGTACTTCTTGAACAAAAAACCTATGATCCACACATTTTTCATTAACTTAAAGACCCATAACATAAATTCCCAAAATTCCAACACCCTTAAAACCATAAGACACTCCCATTAGACCTCAAATATTCTAAGATATCCACTGCCCAAATTTCATATTCAAAATTCTCTATTTTGTCCTTTGTGCATAAAAATTCTAAATCGACCATTCTCGTTGCTCGTTACACTTAAAATCTTAGATCTTAATCATGATGCCTCTTCCGAGACATTCAAACCTTCTAAAAATCTTCAACAATCACGAGTGATCGCTTACCAAATTTTATATCTCAAAATGTCCATTTTGCCCTTTGTCCAAAAAGATTCTAATTTGACAATCATTATGAGTCACAATTCTCTAAACCTGAGATCTTTATCACGATATTCCATCAAAGGCCCCAAAACCTCCATTAATTTCCCGATCAACCATCCACCCAATTTCATACCTCAAAATACTCATTTTGCCCCTTATCCAAAAAGATTATAAATCGGCGATCCTCATTAGCCACCATTGTCTTAATGCGAGATCTTCATCGTGATACTCCATCAAAGACACCAAAACCTCCATCAACTTCCCAATTGATCATCCACCAAATTTAAGACCCAAAAATGACCATTTTAACCCTCATCCAGAAAGATTCCAAATCGGTTATTCTTATCGGTCGCCATTGTCAAATCTTAGATCTCCATCACAACAGCTCCCCCAAGATGCTCAAATCTTCCTAAAACCTCCATCAAACCCCCGATCAACCATCTGCCAAATCTCATAGCTTAAAATGACTATTTTACCCTTTAGTTAAAAGATTCCAAATCGACAATCCTCATTAGCAACCACTCGCTTAATCTGAGATCTTCATTGAGATACTCCATCCAAGACCCTGAGACCTCCACCAACTTCCCGATCAACCGTTCACCCAACATCAGACCTCAAAATACCCATTTTGCCCTTTATCCAAAAAGATTTCAAATAAACCATCCTCATCGCTCGATACGCCCTAAATTCAAGATCCATCATCGCACATCATCTGACACCTCCAAACCCCATCAAAACCTTCTGATCAACATCACATTTCAGACTCTAAAATGACCATTTTGCCCCTAACTTAAAAAGATTCAAAATGAACCATCCTCATTACTCGATATGCCCCAAATTCAAGATCCATCATCACACATCATCTAATTTCTCTAAGCCCCATCAAAATCTCTCGATCATCGATCCGTTAAACTTCAAGCATCAAAATTACCATTTTACCCCTTATCTATAAAGATTCCAAATCGAGGACTCTCATTGGA